AAGTGTATTGCTGAGTAGTAATTCATCAGTGGATATATCACAATTTGTTTTTATCCGTTCACCCATTGAAGGACATCATAATTGCTCCCAGTTTTTGGCTATTACAACTTAAGATGCTATGAACATTTATGTCAATATGAGCAATGGTAGTTTTTTCTCTTGGAGAAATATCTGGGGATGGAATGGTTAGATTATATGGTAGGTTGTATGTTTAACTATTTTTTAAAATTTATTTTAATTGGAGGCTAATTACAATATTATAATGGTTTTTGCCATACATTGACATGGATCAGCCACAGGTGTACATGTGTCCCCCATCGTGAACCCCCCTCCTGCCTCTCTCCCCATCCCATCCCTCAGGGCCATCCCAGTGCACCAGCCCCGGTCACCCTGTCTCATGCATCAAAACTGGACTGGCGATCTGTTTCACATATGGTAATATACAAGTTTCAATGCTATTCTCTCAAATCATCCCACCCTTGCCTTCTCCCACAGAGTCCAAAAGACTGTTCTTTATATCTGTGTCTCTTTTGCTGTCTCACATATAAGGTCATCATTACCATCTTTCTAAATTCCATATGTATGTGTTAATACACGGTACTGGTGTTTTTCTTTCTGACTTACTTCACTAGGTATAGTAGTCTCCAGTTTCATCCACCTCATTAGAGCTGATTCAAATGTGTTCTTTTTAATAGCGGGGTAATATTCCATTGTGTATATGTACCACAGCTTTCTTATCGATTTGTCTGCCAGTGGACATCTAGGTTGCTTTCATGTCCTAGCTATTGTAAACAGTGCTGCAAAGAACATTGGGGAACATGTGTCTCTTTCAATTCTGGTTTCCTCAGTGTGTATGCCCAGCAGTGGGATTGCTGGGTCGTATGGCAGTTCTATTTCCAGCTTTTAGAGGAATCTCCACACTGTTCTCCATAGTGGCTGTACTAGTTTGCATTCCCACCAACAGTGTAAGAGGGTTCCCCTTTCTCCGCACACTCTCCGGCATTTATTGTTTGTAGACTTTTTGATAGTAGCCATTCTGACCGGCGTGAGATGGTACCTCATTGTGATTTTGATTTGCATTTCTCTAATAATGACTGATGGAGAAGGAAATGGCAACCCACTCCAGTGTTCTTGCCTGGAAAATCCCATGGACAGAGGGGCCTGGTGGGCTACAGTCTATGGGGTTGCAAAGAGTTGGACACGACTGAGCAACTAACACACACACACACACACACACACACACACACACACTAATGAGTGATGCTGAGCATCTTTTCATGTGTTTGTTAGCCATCTGTGTGTCTTCTTTGGAGAAATGTCTGTTTAGTTCTTTGGTCCATTTTTTGATTGAGTCGTTTATTTTTCTGGTATTGAGGTGCATGAACTGCTTGTATATTTTTGAGATTAATTATTTGTCAGTTGCTTTGTTTGCTATTGTTTTCTCCCATTCTGAAGGCTGCCTTAACTTTTAAAGAAATTATCAAACAGTTTTCCATAGTGCTTTTTCATTTACATTCCTACCAGCAATGCTGGAGAGTTCTATTTCTTCCACATCCTTGCCAACACTTACTTTGGTCAATCTTTTTAATTTTAGCTATCTAAAAGGTGCATATTCATATTTCATATGTGATTTTAATTTATATTCTCCTGATAATGAATGATGTTCTTTTCATGTTCTCGTTTGCCATCAGTATACATTCTTTGGTGAAATGTTTGTTTAAATCTTTTGCCCATTTTTACTGGCTTCTTGTTTTATTAATGCATTTCAAGAATTTATTCTATTAAATTTAACTTTCACAAAAGACTCAATTAGTTAATATCTCTTATCCACTTCTAAACAAAACCCTGACTTTGCACCACCCCCCACCCCCCACCCCCCACACCACCACCCGCCTTATTTCTGTTTTTTTGCTGTTTGGAATTTTAGTTTCACTTTGTTTCCATGTGTCTATTTATCTATCTCCCCACCCATCCATCCTAACATCTCCATTCTCTTTTTGTGAAACTCCAGTCAGAAATGTTTTACCTATTCAGTGTGTGCTTCATGTCTCTTAATTAATCTTTCATGTTTTCCATTTCTTTATATCTCTGTGTTGTATCTCTGTGTTACTTTCTGGGGAATTTTCTCATATAGTCACCTTCTTATTTCCTTCTTGAACTATGGCAGGACAACTATGTTACCTCCTCTTTCACACTTCTAATTGTGGAAGTTTTATTTGTAAAAAATAGTTTGGTTCTTTTTCAAATTCATTTATCTTTCCATTAGTGTTCTATTTCTAGACCTTCTTTTACCTCTAAATGAATTTACATATATTACGAATACATATTCAATAATTACTCTCATTTCGGTCTGTTATCATGGTTTTCTGGTTCTCACAGTTCAGTTGGCTGAACATCTTTTAACTTTCTGACATGGAGAGTTGTTTTCTCAGTTCTTTGTAACTCACTTTTTGTACATGCATCTTCTGTGTGTTTTAGTTTCACTTTGTTTCCATGTATCTATGTATCTTTTGTGTGTTATCTATATGTGTTGTTTTCTCTTGGGTAATTTCATGTGTCCTAGTTGTGAAAGTGTCACTGGCTTTGATTCTGGCAGAATCCCAGGGTTTCAAAGGTCCTTTGTGTTAATTTATCTCCTGTGACTCCCATGCAGTTGCTGGTAATGTAAATTTAAATTCCATCTCTGGCATAGGCTTGGGGTGTGATTTCTCCCAGTTGCCTTTTTGTTTCTTTCTACCTTGGGCTTCGAGGAAAGCATGAGTTTCCTTGAAGACTCCATGGTCTACAGGCAGGGAATTTTCTGGTTTCATAGAATGGAAGTGGCAGCTCTTACAGGATCCAGGCTTTGTGAAGGAGTCCCTGATCCATATGTCCACCAGCTATGGCCCAGCACCACATCTTGAGGCCACACTGAGAGGATGAGAACCTAACTCGAGCCCTTAGAGCTTTTGTCTTTTTGGATTTTGAAACGTGAAAATGTTAGTCCCTCAGTTGTGCCTGACTCTGCAACCCCAGGGACCGTAGCCCGCCAGGCTCCTCTGTCCATGGGATGTCCCAGGCAAGAATACTGGTGTGGGTTGCCATGGCCTTCTCCAGGGGATCTCCCCAACCCAAGGATTGAATCTGGGTCTCCTGCACTGAGGCAGATTCTTTACCATCTGAGCCATGTGGCAGCCCCAAATATATTATTCTTCCCTTGCCTTGCTGTTGGAAATTCCTCTAGAAAGTGTTTTTCACAAAGGAAACAGGCTGGCCTATTACAACAGACAAGTCCTGTAGAAAAACAGGTCTTTGTGGAATCCCTTCCAAGTCTTTTTCAGACTTTTGCCACAAAATAGAAATTATTTTCTAATATGATTCTGTCCTTCATTATCTGTAATAAAATAAACCTTGTTGTAAATCTCAATATACTCAAATATATATACATTCACCTTCTGAATTTAGTAGATAAGCACACTTTTAAACACATGTAATAAATACAATTTAAACTTCCTACCTTATAGCTTTCATAATACTATTTGTACCCTCATGGTTGTCTTCATTAATCAACTGGTATAAAATATAAAGGAGCCTCAACAACATCCACCTTAAAAATAGAATTCCTTGACAATATATGAAAATACTTCATAGTCAATGGTTTTTGAAGAAATTCCTTTTTCAAACAATTGAAATTTAGTCTAAATATGTTTTTTAATAAAATGACTAAACTTAAAAGGCATTATAGAAATAGTAGTCTCTGATCTTTCATGCATTTTGTGTCAGGAACTACCACATCCCTCTTTCCATCCTCATGAAGCAGAACAGAACCAGCACTGAATTGAATAAAGGCATAGTTCATTTATGCTGCCAAGTCTCATTTTATTTCTCTTCTCGGAAATGGGCATAAATGTGGAGTTTGCCATCAACTTCAAGTCTTGCTTTCAAGTATAGAAAGAGAAACATTTCAATATAGTAATGTAAGGCAAGTGGAAATTTTTATAAACATTTACTTTGATAGGCACTGTGCAAACATGTTCTATGTTTATCTTATGTGGTCACCTCCTCAATTCTAACTAGTGGCACAATTTTACCCCATTTTACAGATTAGGAAAGGGTTGCGAGTTTACTGGCATCCATGTGGTGTTATCTGATTTGACGTTTAAACTGTCCACTTTATCCAAACCAAAGTACAATGTGGCGGTAAGAAATATAGTAAACCAAAGGGACTTGAGGGAACAAAAAAGTCTTTGAGTTATAAAAGATCTAAATTATACAAGCAGCAGAAATCTTGGATGGACAACATGATACCTTCTCAGATCATCTTTCACCCTCCCGGTGGTGGCACCATACTATTATGGATTAGGTTTCTTTATCTTTTTTTGTACCATGGACCCCTAATTTAGCCTTCTGGGGAATCCAATGGACCTCTTCTCAGAACAATGTTTTAAAGAGCATAACAGAGCAAACGGAACATTGCTCTAGCATCTGACCCCTGAGATGTTCAAGCATTTCCACTCTGTTCATCTCCCCTCCCACTTCTACTAAACTGCTCTGAGACCTTCCCTAACCTTCTTCAGAGAAAGTAAAAGAGAGACATGCAAGCAGGTTTGGAAATTATGTTTCTGAGATGGCAGCAGTGTCTTCTTTTTCTCTTCCTGTTGAAAGCCTCCATTTCCTAAGCCCTCCACGTTTCCGCAGATCAAGTCCAACCTTTCTCTAGTTTGACTTCCTTACCTTTCTCCGCAGCCCTCCGTCAGCCCAAGCCTCCAGGCCGGCCCCTCCAGGCCCCGCCCCTCGAGGCCCCGCCCCTCGAGGCCCCGCCCCTCGAGGCCCCGCCCCTCGAGGCCCCGCCCCCGAGGCTCCTCACGGTCCCGCCCTCTCGAGGCCCCGCCCCCAGCCGCGTCCCGGTCCTTCCCCGGTCTCGGCCAATAGAGCTGGGCCACTCTCTCGTCCCCGCCTCCGAACAAGAGCGTTGCCTGTCCCCGCTCCCCTCCGGGCCCCGGGGCTGCAGCTGCGGAAGGATGGAGTCTGGGGCTGGCGCCTTCTCCGAGGAACAGTTCCGGGAGGCCTGCGCCGAGCTCCAGCGGCCCGCACTCTCCGGGGCCGCCTGGGAGCTGCTGGTGGAGACCCAGGGCTTGAGCGTCTACCGGCTGCTGGACCAGGTAGCTGCCGCCCCTGGAGGACCGCCGGGCGGCCGTCCGCGGGGGTGGGGTGGGGGGTGCCCCTGGGGGGTGGGGGTGGGAGTGGGAGGTGCTCCCCGGGGGCGGCGGTGTGGGGTGCTCCCAGGGGGTTGGAGGTGGGGGGGTGATGCCGGGGGATGGGGGTGGGGGGTGGGGGGGGGCTGCAACCGAAGTCCGGAACCTGCGGGTCTTCTGGAGCTCAGAGAGCTAGCTCTGGTCTGGGGGTGCCACCAGCTGACACTTTGACCTCTGCGGGTCGTGGGGAGTGGGCAAGTTTTCAGAATTTAGTCCCAGGTCTGAGACCGGACAGGGCCAGTGGATTGTTACAAGTTAATAACAGAGTGAAAACGAGGGTCTGCGGATTCTTACTTAGCCCCATGTGCTTGCCTGCAAGGGACCTGAGCCTCGCTCCCGGTGGGTGCTAGAGGTATCTGTGTGGCGGGGAGTATGTTAAGATTGAGTCTAGGTAGGAAAGCGACTGGGATCTTCAGAGAGTGGATGCCCAGGGTGGTGTGTGTGGCGTGAGGAGTGTGGCTGAGAAGGGACCTACCGTCGTCTCTAGTCATTTCACTAACTTGCTCCTTTTGAGTGCTGCCCCATTCCTTGCAAAGTGCACGGAATAACTTTAGCCTGAAGAAAAAGTTTTAAAAAGTCTGGGGAGAAGTTAAAGGGTAGGAGGAATGGAGTTGCGGGTGTGCCCGAAGGCCTTGGGAGCCAGGTAACCGGCCGGGTGGAATGATGGCCGGTCATCGGTTGCTCTGTGTGCTAGCTGCTGCATGGTTAAAAGTCAGCTTTGGGCAAGGTAAGTGAGTGCAGGTTTCCTGGCAGAGACCAGAGTATTAAACTGTTGGAGAAGGGAGGAGCTCTGAATGTCTGTGTGCCCCAGGGTCACTGGGTACAACAGGATGAGCAGGAAGCTCCGTGTAGGGCAGGCAGAGTTAATTTCTGAGTGTCATTTAAGCATTTACCTTGCTGAAGAAATGGACATGTTTTCTGAAAAAATCCTTCTATCTTTTGGATAAAATCGTTTCATTTTCCGCACCGGCCTCATGCAGGCATTTGCCAGGTGCTGGCCATTCGCTGCTCAGATGTATGTGTCCCGGCGCTTCCCCTTCCCTTTTTCTCCTTGGCCTTTGTCGCTCTGAGTGCCGCCTCTTCCCTGGAATTGCAGTGATCTTCTGACTCGCTTCTTGGCCTTCCACCCTTTCCCTTCTATCCTGCACACCTGAAATCAAGCACCTGAAAGAGATTGTGATCGCATTGTTCCCCTTCTGCCCCTGTTGATTGCATAAAAAATAATACCTACAATAATAGCTAGCTCATTGTATCCTGTCTTATGCTCCAGGCACGGTTAAACGCTCCGCAAGCACTGACTTAGTCCTCACATTGGTGCAATATTGTCAGCCACTACATAGACTATCACCTTATTACCAGTTTGGAAATGGATATATGGAAAAGTTAAGTTGATGGCTCAAGACTCACACTGGGGTTGGAACCCAGCTTGAGCTCCAGACCTGTGCTATGATACACTCCTCCACTGACTCTGAGGGCAAGTATGCCAGGTGGGCTGTGCTCGGGGGACTAGGCTGGTCCAGGGCCCATGACTCCTCCACACGGGTCCTGTCCTCCTGTCAGTCCTGACCACTCCCCTCATGTCACTTGAAGGGCTTGAGCTGTTTTGCTTTTGTGCCTTTTATCCCACAACAGCCCCTTTCTGAGCTGAGACAGAGTGTCTGGCTTTGTATTGTTTCCATTGTATATTGATATGGAGCGGGGTCCACCTCCTTCCTGGGTGGAGGATGGGTATTCAGAACTGTTCCTGTCCCTATGAACCATAATATAAGTCTTATTTCCCCCTGTTCTGGGTCTGAGGGCAGTCATAGTACACTGATATAAGTTACAAGTGTTTCCAGAGAACTCCCATAAGTTGGAGGCCATACAGTTCCCATAGGTGTTCCCTTGAGCCTCAGCAGCTAGGCTGGGGGCCACTGCCCATGGCCACCTTGATCCGCATGTGCTTTCAGTGTCTAGAGACCCTGACTATTCAGACTATTGCCCAGGCCATTGCAGGTCAGGTTTTTCTTTGCAATTGTTATCATCTGGGCTTTTTAAATTCCTCCGACTGGTGTACAGAGTGGACTTGTTTGGGGCCCGTTAATGTTAGGGGACTAGCAGGGGGTCTTATTGATCCACCTGACTTTTGATGGTGTTGCATGAAGACCTTTACTTCAGTCCCATCAATAGACACATTATTCATCTTATTTCTTAATAACCATCTACAGATTTGCACCCTGCTGGAATGAGTCTCTTGATCTGCCTGTCTCTCCCTGTTTCTTGTTAATGTGAAACCCATAAGCAGAAGCTGAGACAGGTAATCCAATAAGGCTTCTTGATATGCTTGATTTTGTTGCAGTAAGGTTACAGCTGGTACCCATACAAAAATAACCCTTTTCATCAAAATTCTTGCTAAATCTTTGTTGAGTAAGGGATATGTTCATTGGATGAATGTCCTGATTATGATAAAGGCAGTCCACCATGGCTTGCATACAAATCATTGCATACAAAACATACAAATCATGTTTCATCAGGGGTGTACCATTTGGAATTATGGAATAAGAAGGGTCAGACAGTCCTCCTCCTCAGAGTTTTCAGTGACTTTTATCCAGTTGAACCAGGCTGACTGTTCCACAGGGAATAACCTGCTATGAGTCTGAATCAGGGAGGTGTGATCATGATCTAAAAATGATGCTGTAACAAAGTTACTATCACATGATTTGAAAAGACTGACATAAGCATAGAGGTACTTGAAAGAGTTTGCAATGTAACAGATAAATTTTATTTTAAAATAAAAAAGATTGTGGCTTCCTTTTAGTAGACACAAGTAATTCTGAATCTTGTTCTTGAACAAATGGCTACTTTTGATATACACCTTTTGATACTTTTCCATTTTCTCTTTTCCTATTAAGTCACAGAATTTTAGACTTAGAAAGTCTCTTTGAAACCACTCTGTCCAATTACCATCACCCTTTCTTTTTTCTTTTTTACTGCTTTCTTTTCCTGCTCTGTTTCTTGTTCTTACTTTCTTTTTCTTTCCCAAAGTTGTAGTGCTAACTTATCTTTATGTGGCCCCTTAATATACAAAATGCTATTACGCATAAATTTTCATTTATCCCTCTCAACAAATATAGAAGATAGGTAGAGACAGGTTTATTTTCCTATTTTATGGATGGCAGTAAGACCCAGAGCAAGCCACACAAGACCTCATAGCTAGTAACTAGACATGAACCAGGGCACTTTGATAAACTCAGTACCAAATATATAGCTTGCTTCAATTCAGAACTACATTCTTTTTCTGCAAGCTAAGCAAAGCTAAACCAGTCAATCCTGAAGGAAATCAGTCCTGAATATTCTTTGGAAGGACTGATGCTGACGCTGAAATTTCAATACTTGGGCCACCTGGTGCGAAGAACTGACTCCTTGGAGAAGACCCTGGTGCTGGGAAAGATTGAAGGCGGGAGGAGAAGGGGGAGACAGAGGATGAGATGGTTGGATGGCATCACCGAGTCGATGGACATGAGTTTGAGTAAGCTCAGGGAGTGATGATGGACGAGGAGGCCTGATGTGCTGCAGTCCATGGGGTCACAGAAAGTAGGACACGGCTGAGCGACTGCACTGAACTGAAAGCAAAGCTCGTGCAAGACTGCTATGTGCTATGCTATTCTATGTGGTGCTGTGGGAAAGAGCATGGATTTTGGAGGCAGAGAGTCTTGGGTTACAACCTCTGCTCTGTTCCACTATCATTCATTTATTCGGCAGATATTCAGTGCATGCCTCCCACGTGGTCCTGCCTTGACAGACACTGGGCCGAAGCAGGGAGCAGGAAGTTGGAGCTGCTGGTTCAGTGAATGAGCTTCTTGAACAATAAACAGTATTCCCTGAGGATAATAAACATAGTACATAATGAAATGGCAGCTGAAAAATGCTACAAAGAAAGTAAAGTGTGATGAAGGGATACAGAGATGTTATGGGGAGGTGGGGCTATCCAGGGGTGATGTGATGTGCTTTAGATATAGGGAATCTGGAAAAACCCTCTTCCAGAGGTAACAATTGAGTGGAGATATAAATGAAATAAGAGATTGCGTCCTGCAAATATCAGAGGAGAAATGGACCAGAGAGTGTTCCTCAAAGCTCAAGCACATTAGAATTGCCGGGGGAGCTCTAAGAACATCTCTCAGCCCTACTAGAGCCCATATTGAATGGAGTTGGAGCAGAGCTTGGATGGTCCTTTTGAAAAGTTCCCGTTTCACATAGAGGCTGATTATTCTATCCTGTCTACGTTGGTGTGTTTGAAATGTTTCACAATAAAATATGGTTTTGTTGCTTCTTTTTGTTTTTTAATGTGAAAGCTTCCCAAGAGATTTTAATGAGCGTGCTGTGTTATAAACCATTGCAGTAGAGGGAACACTGAGTGCTAAGTTCCAGAGCCAGGCTGACCTTGCCTCGTTTTCCAGGAAGAGCCAGAAGAGCCAGAAGGACACAGGACCACAGTGAACCTGGTGTTGGAGAGTGGCCAGGAGTCAGGCCCCACTCACTCCGTGGGGGATGTTGGCCGGCTGCTATTTCATTTTAAAATCTCAGCTTCCTCATTTGCAAAGCAAGTATAATTCTTGCTTTTTAGGATCATTGGCTTCTTACAAACATTGAATGAAATGATACATGGCGGAGTGATTCTTGACCTTGGGCACACACTAGGCTCATCTGCAAAGCCAGTTAAAATTCACAGTTAATATCCTAGTCCGTTTCAGATTCAGTGCATCTGGGTTGGGACTTGAGATTTGGCTTTACATTTCTTTACTTCTCCTCCTTCTTCTTTTTAAAATTTTATTTTTAACAAATGGCCAGGCGATACGGATGCTCCATGGATGATACTCTGAGAACCATTGGTGTTTGGGGAGCTTCTCACGTGGTTCTCAAGATTCACC